ATTGGATATCGGACGTCGTACGTCGGACATCGGACGCGGTGTGAATCCTGAATACGGCTGATATTTTACGTGTCGTACGACAAGCTTTTTGGATACGTTCATTGGTTGACGAACAGAAAACCTAAAAATACTCTATTTACCAACCAATAAACGTAACCGAAAAGCTTGTCGTACGACACGTGAAATAGCACCCTACTGGCTCCTGCACACAGGACGCGGTAATGCTTGCCGTGCGGCGGAAGTTTGCGCGATAGCCAATCAATAAGTTGTTTTTCCGTAAGAGCTAGAAGGTTATTACGGAAAGCAGCATATTGATTGGCTATCGTGCGAACTTCCGTCGCGCGGCAAGTTTTACCGAGTCCTGTGTGCAGAAGCCATAAGGCGTTTTTTCGTTTCGTGACCATGATACTGTTTGGTGGTTGGTTTGGTCCACTTAACGCTCGCAACGCCTCGAGCAACAAAGATAGAATGACCCTCGCGGCGTTGCGAGCGTTAAGTGGACCAAACTAACCAACCAAACGCTACCGTGGTTACAAAACGAAAAAACGCCAAGCATTCTGTCCGCAAAGTGAAGCCGAAAGTTGGCAGTTCAAGACAGAGCGAGAAAGTTGGGCTGCGTTCCGTTTTACGCATATGCGCGCATTTATCTATAGTTCATGTTACATATATTGTAGGTAATGCGCGCATAATGCGTGAAACGGAACGCAACCTTGATTTGCCCCTAGTACTTTCTCATTCTATATTATTAACTGTCAAGAAGAAGAGTTCGTTTAACACTGCAAATATTTTAAAACATTAAATAAAGCAATATGATTGATCAATTCGTCGCTCTGAAGCACTTACAGCACTAAATAGAACTATTTACAGAACTAAACCTTATCCAAGAACTGCACCCGTCATAGCAACCTAACCTTTTTCATGTGACAATATCTCTCACTCTTTCTCATTATATGGTATACAGATATAGGGATTCTCAAAGCATATCCCCCCAACACCACTCCAAGTTAATATAAGAATAAAAATTAATAAGAATCAACTAAGTTGTTTGAAAGAACGATATCGTGATATAAAGCCCAGGAAGATTCCAAGGCACGTTCCAAAAATCTTAAGGTCCGAACTTGTTCGAACACGTCTGGTCGTAACGGTGGTTAGGCCGAGACTTTCATGTGACAGTAGAATGAAAACAGGATAAGAGCAATTGCTGTGATTATTTATACACAGCATAAAATATTATAAATATCAATTTTATATCAAGATAAATGAAATATACAGTTTTATTCTTTTAATTCTGCACTGCATTATATACAGGGTGTTCGGAAAGTACCGGGACG